GACCTCTAGGGAGAACAGTTTAGAACTGATAGAGCTATCCAGTATAAATAAAGTTAGTTTAGTTTAGGTTTCCTCCTGTTGTGATCGAACTGGATCAATAACAGAATGAGCCTTACTGGACATCTAGGGAGAACAGTTTAGAACTGATAGAGTTATCCAGTATAAATAAAGTTAGTTTAGCGTAGGTTTCCTCCTGTAGTAACAATGGATCAATAAGAGATGATCCTTACTGGACCTCTAGGAAGAACAGTTTAGAACTGATAGAGCTATCCAGTATAAATAAAGTTAGTTTAGTTTAGGTTTTCTCTTGTAGTAACACTGGATCAATAAGAGATAATTCTTACTGGACCTCTAGGAAGAACAGTTTAGAACTGATAGAGCTATCCAGTATAAATAAAGTTAGTTTAGTTTAGGTTTTCTCTTGTAGTAACACTGGATCAATAAGAGATAATTCTTACTGGACCTCTAGGAAGAACAGTTTAGAACGGATAGAGCTATCCAGTATAAATAAAGTTAGTTTAGTTTAGGTTTCCTCCTGTAGTAACACTAGATCAATAAGAGATGATCCTTACTGGACTTCTAGGGAGAACAGTTTAGAACTGATAGAGCTATTCAGTATAAATAAAGTTAGTTTAGTTATATATATAGTTAGTCTGAACTCGACCTGTGGCTATATGATTCCTACGCAACATGTGTAATTGTATCCATTCTATTGCATGCAACTGTTTTATTGTATATTCTTGTTGTCAACCACGGTGAAAATAAACAACCATGAAGATGAAAATATCTCCAAGCTTGCAATTTATCAAAGTGCACATACAATGTGTTTGATTAAACCAGGGCGCTTGACTAAACCTTCAAATCTTTCTTGTTTTAGGTGGTATATTTGATATAGATGATGGAAATGCTTATTCCGCTTCTGAAAAGGCATTCAATATGGCGATCGCGGAAATAAACGCTGACTCAGCAATACTTAATGGCACTACCCTTGAAGGAATAAGCAATACAACTGCGCCCCTAGATGTAAAACGAAGTGTGGACAGCGGTGAGTTGTTAAAATACATGCACCTGAATCACTTGTAAAATTCATAAATATTTTAAACCCTTTTTGTTCCAATGTTATTACAGGAGGAAACCTAAACTAAACTAACTTTATTTATACTGGATAGCTCTATCAGTTCTAAACTGTTCTTCCTAGAGATCCAGTAAGGATCATCTCTTAATGATCCAGTGTTTCTACAGGAGGAAACCTAAACTAAACTAACTTTATTTATAATGGACAGCTCTATCAGTTCTAAACTGTTCTCCCTAGAGGTCCAGTAAGTGCAATCCTTATTGATCTATCCAGTGTTAATATATTCCTTTTATTCCTTTTCGTGAAAAAGTATTAGGAATGCTCATTTATCATACCTGTATTTTCCAGCATGTTACCAGATAAAGCAAGGTGTTGTCGCAGTTATCGGACCAGCACGTTCTAATGTTGTCAAAGCGGTCAACTATATTTGTTCCGGCTTGAATCTACCTCAGATCGCGTTTGCAGCCAGCGACCACTCCCTGTTCCTCAGCTATCAACAATACCCGTCCTTGCTACGTCTGAGTTCATCTGGAGATAGCCAGAGTGATGCGATTATGGCGGTGATGGAATATTTCAAATGGAATAAAGCAGTTATGATTACTTCCAGTGATGATTATGGTGCGTTGAGTAATAAGTAATATATACAGCATGACAAATAGCAACAACAGCAACAATTTATTCAGTACATAATTACAGTAATTATACACTATAAGAAAATTAAGTTTGAACGGCACTGGCTCCCGAAATAACTGAAAAGCTAAACGAGTCATGGAGCCATTGCAATAAAAAATATTACTCATATTTATGTCCAGCAGACAGATGAGTACAACAATCATAAAATATATAGAGAATTTCTACCATAATAATTACCGGGTTATTTCATTTGATATCCGCCTCATCGAGAAACTTGGATTTGTTCAGGGATAAGGTGATTTTTAGCTCTAAAATTCTTCAGGTTAAGGTGATTTTTAGGTCTGGAATTCCTCAGGGTAAACAAATTTTACTATGAAATTCTTTATGGGTTGGATATTTTAAATGAGATTTCCTCACTGATTGAATGTAAAAACTTAAATTCGTCACTTGCTGAGTATGGATTAATTGTTATTTCACATTTAATATCTTCCAGGTTCAATGACCTTTCAACGTCTTCAACATGCATCCTTC